ACTCACAGGCCCCAACAGCCCCTGAAAGTTCCAGGCAATTTGGGTGTTCCTGGACGGGGGACGATTTTGGCGGGGGGGGGGGGCCTTAACATTTGTAATATTAAAAGAGAAAACTCGAATATGATGAGAAGTTTAGAGACGTAAGATAATAAAGTTGTGAGAACTAGAAGTGTACAACTGACGCTGACATGTCCGTGAGTTGTATAACCTTACTCGCACATGATAATGCATACGACTGTAGTTCATCGTATAACATCGTCTCGTGTTTGGGGTGTGGGTGTGGGTTTATGAAAGGCATATACCCACACCCACCCGGAAAAATTATCCATGAAGTCATGCAAAGACTGTTTCAACAGTTGCTTGATCGGATAGATAACTCTACCGTTAACTATGTTATTGCTGCTCCGGCATCATAATACCCATATTCTAAGTAACAATATTATTTCAGAGTGGCTCAATATTAAGGACTCAGCGAAATCTCCAAATCAGGAGGTGCCAGCTCCAAGAGTTCACAAGCAGGGAGGATGGGCATCCTTCGGTCGTTACTCCCCTTCTCAATATAAGACGAGCACACGTTTCATTTGTGATATAATAATAATGATGATGATGCGTCGCAACCGTTTTTTATTCATATACATGTGCGTGTGTTTGTGTTTGTCTACTACTCTGTTTACTATTGCAACGCTTTTTCGATCAGTTTGCATGTAAAAACGTCTACAGCATATGTCTGACAAACATCATATGAATAATAATAGGTGAGACATAGGAAAAAGGTGCTACCGATGTCATATTCGAAAAATCGATGAAAATCCATTGATTTCCTCAAATCTAACAATGGAAAAGCACTCGTTGTATTTCCTTAAAAAATGAACATATGATATTAATCGCATTTAACAAACCTTTTCATCATTACACTGTATTACGAAGTAGAAGATTGATTATTGTGTAAATATTTGATGAGTTGGCAAACAGTGAGTTTCATCAAACACTTGTCTCATTCTGTTGTTTTTCTCTTCACCTATCGTGTCTTCATTTTTCGTTTGTTTCGTTAAAAAATATTTTGTTTTGACTACTCCAACGAAAAGCATGCATTACTACCTGTTCGAATACTCTTCTTAGCCGTCGATTTGATTCAAATTTGCGAGTAAGAAGATGTTTGAATTAGAAAGATATTTCTACATAGTCTAGCTATCTGATTAAATAGAAATAGAATCAGTGCACTGACACAATCGATATATAGACGAAATCAGAATTTCATTTGACAATTAATTCATCTGGGATTCGACTTTTCATCGAGAATGTTCAGTGAATGTCATTTTTCCTCTGCCACTGAACTATCAATTATATTGGATGGTCGTATTTACCTACCAATGAGAAGATTGTAAAATAGTCAGATATATCTTGTAATGATGAAGTTTGATGATTTCCAGTCTAATTGTATTCTTCTTATCTAATCGAAAGATGACCATAGTCAAATAGCGAACAATTTATTCGATAATAATTAATTGATCTATTTGGTGCTTCACGTGTTTTCAAACGTTCAATTCGTTGGAATTAAGCCAGGAATGACTTTTTTAGTAAATGTTCTTATCAGTTTTTAAGCTAGAAAATGTATCAGAAGTGATCATAATAAAATATTTCGGGTTTTCTATCTAGATATGATTTAAGTAACAAAAATATCCGGCAAAGTTTGCAAAGTCCTGAAAAAATAATATACTGGTTATAAATGTGTGTATAGTTCCATGTTCCTTCCATTGGTACTCAAAATAGTCGAAACATTTCGGGATTATTCAAAGTATTTCAAATCTTCAGGGTATCGATGACCGACTTCGACTGTGAATACTAAGAAAACTGACGCACCAGCCAATCGTCACGAATGAGAGATGAAGTGTGAGAGTTTCGTGTTTCTCTTTTTCTTTCGGTATATGGCAAAAAAATAGTGTTTAGTTTATCACTATCAGATTGATGTGTCTCAAGTCACGATTATTCACATTGGTCAGTGTATTAGTCTTGCGTAGCACAATCAATAGGAGTTGATAACTGAGACTACTAAGATCATAAATATCTCATATTCACTCAAGTATCCCATATTCCGTATATATTCCGTTGAGAATTTGAATCAAATGTTATTTCAGGCTTCGGATTTCGACACCATGCAGTAAGACAGAAAGATTATGTCCTTAGTTTCTCTAAACGAATTCACGAACTACCTGAAAATCTATCTTCAAAATCTGGAATTAGAAGCACGGTTATGGTTCATTTTATTTAGTTAAATATTCGAATTAACTTAACTTTTTAACGATACATTCGTAAACCTCTTTATCCGAAAATTGGATAATATTTTATTCAATGCTCTGTTTCAGATAATGTCGTCAACATTTCGAGATCTCTGTCCAGATATTCTCCTAGATATTTTCTGTTATTTCTCAATCGATCAACTTTTCTATTCATTTTATCCTGATGTTCTTCCGATTCTCCAAACGCTTCTTTATGAAAGTAGAATGAAATTTCAACTTTGTCTTAGCAATGATGATCATTTTACTGCTACTCTGCTTTCTCTTATTAATGAAAATCAAGTCGGTTCTTTGCGTATGACAGCAGCTAAAAACGATTTTGTAAAATTTCGCGAACTGCAATGGATTACAGTGATCAATATTCATATTGATCGTATGCTTCTACAAAAGCTCTCTAAATTACCTCGATTGACACATGTCATTTGCATTGATTCTCAATTCAGACAAGAATGTTTTAGATACGTCTGTTGTTTACCTTTTCTTAAATACTTTGAAGTAAACTTACATGGTGGTTATTTGGATATTCCAATAACATCCTATCAACGCACATGTCCAATTGAAGAACTTGTCTTACATACACCTTGCTCATGGGAATATTTACGACGATTAATCAGTCATTTGACTCATCTACGTATTTTACGCGTCATGGTAAATGTTGATAGAAGTTCGGATATCACTATACAACATTATAGTGAAAATTTTCCTTCCATTGAAATCTTTGATCTTACTTGGTATTCAATTGAAATGGAAAATATTCTTGCTCTTGTACGTCATATGCCACATTTAAAACAACTTCGTTTATCCGGTAAAATAGATGTGAACAATTTAAATAGTGATCTATGGCAACAACTTTTGGAAGTTGTTTGTCGGAATTTGAAACGATTAAATGTCAATATGTTAATTTCGATTCGAGAAGGAGCAGACAGAATTCAAAAGGATTTTGATAATAATCTCTTTTTTCAACGAATTCAATTTCGTTTGATACCGAGTAACGATGAAAATGAATTACTAATACTCAATGGCGATTTTCGACGTTAGACGTTTCGGCAAAATTATTTTTCTCGACATAAAAACAAATCTCTCGATTGTTTTTATTAATAAACAAGAATCCATCATGAATGTTTGTAATTTCGCTTGTCATTCGTAACACCAGCGCATATGGGTCAGTATTTTGAAGAGATTCTGACATTTAAGTTTGATCAAGTTCGAAAGAACTCGCTGCAATAAAGTTTAGTACATGCCAAGAGAAATGTGTGCCTCATTGTGTTTATCAGTTTAGCTATTGGTTTAGCTCATACATTCTTGATCTTTATTTTTAATTAATCTTTAGATTACAGCAGAGTTTGATATAATCTTGCAAGAATGCCAGTGAACTCATTGCTCTATGCTTCATAGAAAAGACCAAACTCCTCACTTTCTCACCATATGTAAAAATTCATTAGACAAACGAAATACATTAATACAAAAAAAAATAGGACAATGCCATTTGGCGAGAACTGTAATTATTCATGTTTCAGTTCTTTTAATCGTACAGAAGCATTCAATCAACATGGTGTGTATGTGAACGATGGTGTGGAATGTGGGTGATAGGTGTGTGAGCGCGGGTGTGAGCGCGGGTGTAGTTGGGGTTGGAGTGTAAGTGTGGGATACCGGTGTGGGTTGTGCTTTGGCTAGACTACTTGTAGGTTCACACAGACATACATCCACACTCATTTACACCCTGTTGGTGAAAGTCATATTGGCAAAATTCCTGTCACCCCCAATGAAAAATGTCTGATTACCAACCGGATTACTGTGTACCAAAATCTAATCTTCAATCGAATTGGAAGAGTTTTTTTTCTTTTTTATCAGAAAACATCGGTAAACCCGATTGAAAATTGGATTTCCGTGCACTGCAGTCTTGTTGGTAATCTGGTATTTTTCACTGGGCCAAAAACTAGTGCAAGCACGTAAAATGAACAACGTAAGCAACTTTTCCATCTAATCTATCGACTAAAAGTGTTCATAGTTTCAAAACAAACATGAAATTATACATAATGAATAATCGTAGAAAGATTCTTGAGAGCAAGTTGTTAAAATCTTATTTTTCAACTGTTGAATCATTACCAAAAAAGTACTATCTATTCAAAAAGGATCTGAAAGATACAAAGCCGAAGTTTCTGACTAATTCTATTTTCAGTCGGAGCTGGGATCATTTTAGAACGTTTGAATACCATCGGATGATAATTTTTAATGAACATAACATTTGTTGATTTAGGATTTCTATTAAATATAAGTAGTGTACAATGTCGAGATAGTTTAGAAATATAGATGAACTTTAATGTTGATTTGTACTAAGTGAAGTCTTCTACTGTTATGAATCTCAGGTAGAAACAAACAAATATATGATTCGCAATTCGTGAATAAAATAGTGTCATGATATTTCATGTTTCTTTTGTCAATAGATCACTAGTAGAAGAATTAAGAGGAACAAAAATTTACTTGTCAGCTCTGTTTGATAAAATTCTAGTACCAACATTTGAAACTTCGGTTTAGAATAAAAAACTTATGATTTTTCCTGGGTTTGTTTTCATGTATGACAAAAACTTAAAGACTTTCATAGGTCAAAATTGGCACCCATTCTCATATGAAGAACTTTTTTTTGGTTACGAACAAAAGATGATACAGTTGAGTCCACTTATAAGAGCTCCGGATAAAGGAGCGGTTCGCTTGTAAGAGCTTTGTTTTAGCGCTTTTTTGCGATTTGAGTCCGCATAAAAGAGCCATATTTTATGTTCTTATTCTTTTCTTTTTCTATTCATCTCTTGCACGCATGCTCTTTTTCGTCTTACTCACTTTTCCTAACTGACGTCTTTGTTGAGTAAGAAGAACCATTGTCTTTTTCTGTCTATTATTCATTTTCCTAGCAGACGGACGAAGCTTCGCGACTTTTTCTCTAGTCCGTCTATTGTCTCTCTTCTATGTATATATACTTGCTGTTTCATCAATAAAGGGATCAGATATTTATCCATCCGAAAGTTGATATATATTTAACTTCGTTGAATCTTTATTTTTGAGAGAATGGCATCTATCAGCGGTAAACGTTGCACATTATCGATGGAGCAAAAATTGGAAATCTTGGAAGCACTGAAATCGAAAAAGCCAGACGAAGTGGCTAAAGATTTCAACATCGGCTATTCTACGGTGAAGAAGATAAGGCAAAACAAAGAAGAAATCCGAAAAATAGCGTTGAGCAATGGCAACTTAAATTGAAAACGAAAACGCGAAAGCCCTAATGAATAAATCGGCGAAGCGCTTATTGCTTGGTTCCATCAAATGAGAGCTCAAAATGCCACGATCAATGGACCATTAATGTTGAAAAAAGCCAAGCAGCTTGTGACTACGCTCGGACATCAAGATTTTGAGCCATCGCACGGTTGGTTAGAACGATTGAAATTGCGTCACAACATCAAATTTATCAAAGTTTCAGGTGGATGAGCCGCCGCTGATCAAGCTGGCGCGGAAAATTGGATCAATAATGTCTTACCGGGGTGATCGAAGGTTATGATCCGAACAATTTTTTCAATGCGGATGAAATCGGATTGTTCTACAAAGCTGCACCATCGGGTACTCTCGCCGTCGCCGGCAGTCATTCTACTGGCGGCAAAACGCCGAAAGATCGAGTGACTGTCCTTTTTTTGTGCAATTCTACAGGAACCGAAAAGAAGCCATACGCAATTGGAAAATTCAAAAAACCGCGTTGTTTCAACAAAGCTCGACCCCCATTGCCGTATTATAGCAGTGCGAACGCTTGGATCACCAGTTGGATTTGGTCGGATATTTTGCACAAATTCGATCGGGAATTGGGCAATCGAAAAATCGTTCTTTTCGTCGATAACGCCTCCTGTCATAAGATCGATGCGGCGTTGAAAAACATAAAAATCCTTTTTATGCCGCCGAACATGACATCATTAATCCAGCCTTTGGATCAAGGCATCATTCGTACCGCGAAGGTGCATTATTGCATCCAAGTTATGAGAAAAATGCTTCAAGCGATCAATGATGACACGTCGATAATCGATTATGCGAAATCGATCGATATTTTAAAAGCGTTGCATATGCTCAAACGAGCTTGGTTTCTCGTTTCGACCACTACGATCGAAAACTGTTTTCGAAAAGCCGGTTTTTTGGTTAGTGATGACACTAACGACGTGAAAGAAATCCAGAAGGTTTTGGATGTGTCGGAATTCGATGAAGCCATACAAGAAGAAGATTTCGAGGCGTTCGTCGACTGTGATAAGGAAGCCGAATGTTTTGGAAATCTCACGGATGCCGAAATTTGCGATTCAGTGAAACTAAATCGACAAGGAATGGTCGATTTAGAAGAAGACGACGAAGAAGCCGGAATTGTTGATGAACCGATGACAGGTGTCTCTCATAAAGATGCGCTGATGCATCTTTCGATGGTTCGCAAGTATTTGGAAGAGAATTTTACAGAGTATAATTCATATTATGATATAGAAGACATGATCGAAAAGAACGCTTTAATTAATCGTACTCAAAGTAAAATCACGGATTTCTTCAAGTAAATTTATGTATGCCTATGTACTACTCAATAAATGTTGACAGGAATCAATTTTTGCACTGTTTTACATATAGTTCGGATAAAGGAGCAGTCCGCATATAAGAGCCTCTTTTAGAGGTCCCGACCGTGCTCTTATAAGCGGACTCGACTGTATTGAGAAATCGAGAGTTTTCACGAAAAAATGTTCCATAATTGGAGATGATTGTCAATGCTGTTCATTTTTATTGAGACTATGGATGAAGTGAAGGCTATCTATTGTTGAAAAAAAAACGATCTCTTCTTTTTGCTTCATACATCAAGAAGCATGCGAGTATCTGAATAATTTTTACTTAAACTGTATATTCAATTTGGTTCTGTTTGGATTGAATTCACAAAAAATATTATACAATTTTACATCCTATCTATTTTTAATAATATTTCTTATTGGCAATGATAATTGTCTATCAATTGTGTCAGCATAAATTTTGCTTGATATAAAATCAAGTAGAAGTTGAGATTGTTTTCAAATCCTTATCGTTGGATACTGCAGGAACGTCGAGCATTTTCAAGAGAGATCCGTTGACCGCCCTTACTCGCATTACGCAATACTTGAAAATGGTTATCATTGTTCAGTAATGAACCTTCCATTGTAGATGTTGACTATGATATATGTAAAAAAGATGACAGACGAAGTTTTGCCCAAGGCAAAGCAGATAATTCAGGTTCATTCAGGTTTGTCATAGCTATCGTGAAAAAAACTACAATAGACTGTTAACCTAAACACTCTGTGAACTAAAAATCTGAGAAATGAAAGAAATATAAGTGCTATTCTTGGTTAGTTATCATCAACTATTGGAAATCATTGAATTCAATTTTCATTCGATTGTGCCTCTATTGAATACAAAAAGAAGTTATCATGAAGTGAATACGTTAGAAAGGATTCGATTCGATAAGGCTAATATTCAGTTATAAATTGGTTTCATTTGACTTCAGTCTCTAGTTACAGCTAGAGCTAAACTTGTCGGCCTCTGTTTACGAAGAAAATATGTCTTTAGTTTTATTTTGAAGTTTTGAAATGCATTAATTTAAAATTTTCACAAATCATTCATTGATGAAAAAAAAGGAATTTCATAACTAACGTCTAATTAATAGTAATTTGAAATGTTCGAATTTGCATCGGATGGAGAGTGATGGTTGTCCCATTCGATGAAAATGGTTCTAAAAAGTAATGAAGGTATGTCGTCTATTATTCGAGATCTTTATCAATGAAATTTAACTTACGGAACATATTCACATGTGACGATTCTTGATCTTTCGTCATCCAATCGAGTCGATGCAATTGAGATAGTGGTAAATTGGCATTCAATACTAATTCAGTCATATCAGCAATGGTACCAATGCTTTTAAACAATGTTTGAAGATCCATCGTTACCGGTTGTGAGTACATATCATCTTCGTTCAATTCAAAATAATGTTCAACACGCACTAGATATTGTTTAGAAGCTAATTGATCGAATGTTAATAGATGTACGTTTAGTGGCATCGTATCCGACAGAGCCGACCAACTCTGACGATAAATATTCGAATAGTTCGCATAAGATGGTGTATTTGGCAGGGAATAGGTAGCTAGAGGATGCATAAACAACTGCTGACCATCGACTCGATGTAGTCGAGCACTATCTTCTGGTCGTTCAACAAGAAGAATATGTTTGCCGGAAACGACAAGACCCTTACCATAGGCAGTCTCATTTAAAGCTTCACCAACACCCATTGAATCATCATGCAGTATTCGACGATGAACCATAATTTCAATCGAACCGTCGTACATACTTCCGCCACCTTCTGATCTATCTAAGAAAGATATTGAAAACAAAATTATTTCTACTAATGGAAACCATTCATGGAAAAAATTTACTTTACCAGTAAGAACAGTTAATTGACGATCATGATCTCGAATCCAAATGCGACTATTAATTGGATAATAATTGCCACTAATTCGTTCATCAACTAAGTAAGGCCATGTTGGTCGATGGTCACGAATGCGTTCGAGAACTTCACGTCCATTAGCATCAGTATAATATTTTGATCCACTATTAATATTAGTATTATAACGAATAATAATCTCTTTACCAATGTTATCATGAATCGGAATCGGTCCAACTGTCCATTCGAGTTCAACTGATGTTGCTCCACGAAACAGACTGAACTCTTGACTAACCCATTCGTTGAAAACAATCGATGCTTTTTGTACAGTATCTGTTTTCGTACAATTTCTAAACATAGTTGTTTTCATAGATGAAAAAAAAAAATGGTCGAGAAAATTTATCGAACAAAGTTTACTCACATGCTACCTGAAAGACTCACAGGTACGGCTTCTGAAACAAATGGTCGGAAGACATAAGCACCTGATGCTGGTAATTCTGGAGTAGTTGGATCGCCAGGAAAACCTTGAACAAAAAGTGTACGAAAATCTTGACCATTCTGAATAAGTCTTAATCAAAGATATTAGCAATTAGTAAAGACATTTGGATTTTCATTTGATTATAATCGCTGTCTAAAAGATCTTATTTTGTTGAAATATTTCATTTTTATAAGTATTTTTATTTTACTCGAAGTTGTCATGAAATAATACTTACTTGCATACCAGTAGAAACCCTGCGCAGTGAACGATATCATTAAGCTCTTGTCCAAATTGACAATATGCTTTAAATGACCTTGACCATCGAATTCCATGCTCAGATGCTAGAAATGATGAACAACGTGTCAGTATTGATATGTGAAACTCATCTCCTACTTCATTCTCCAGAATGCATGCTTCATTAGATGTTGTTTTCACTCGCTTGTGCTTGATTTTATTCGTATCAGCTATTAGAAATAAACAACATTTCATGATAACTACAGAATGCAACTACCAAAATCATGTTTTCTTTTGCCGAAAATTTGGTCTGTCAGTTCTGCCTTAATCCTCGATTGTTTCTATTTACAAAATCAAGTTCAATTATATTTTTTCACTGTATTTTGAAATATACTATCATTTCATTGACTTTTTTCTAATATAAACAAAATAAGTGGAAGTTTTTGTAGAAATACTTCTCGCTTCGAAATAATAGGTATTGTAACCAAGTGCAGGCAATGATGCTTGAAATAGGTATTGATTTTGAGCAGAACTTGTTCGACCGGGAACATTTTTTGTAGTGATCGAAATCGGAAGATACTGTAAGAAAGAAAAGAAAATCATAATTTTTTTTTTCTTTATATATCGTCGATTTTCTACTTCAGCTGAAACAATATTTCCAATCGGATCACGGATTACATATTCTCGAGTGACGGGCACACGAGGATAAATTGTTACCGGATGAATGGTTGGGTTCCAGAGTGTCAATGTGAACTACAAAAAGAAACGAGACAATCTCTCATGTGTCATATGAAAATAAAGCTATCTCAAAAAATCAGATTACGATCGATTATAATTATTTTTCAGCTGATTATTCACGCGAATTATGTGCGAGAGTTGTACATACTTTGGCTTGTCCTTCGATAGGTAGACATTCACTAATATTTGTGTACGGACAAAGAAACTGAGGAATACTGAGCGGTGTTTGACCTTCTTTGGGTAATAGTTTCGAATAGGCAGCGTTGATGACTTCCTAAAGAATACTCATTATTTCATAGTATCCACTTTAAGTTCTAACGAGTACCACTGATCGGTCGATACCATCAGACAATCGTTGAGCATAGTCATTGGCTACATGTTGTTTCTCTGTTCCACTAACAGCATCATGATGTTGGGCAATACCCATTGCTTCACCTACAAAGTATAATTACTAATCAATAGATTAAATGAGTGCACGGATTTCTTACTCAAGTAGAAAATGCCACTTCGTAGATTCATCTGTGAAAATCCGTTGAGTTGGCGCGTTACTTGAAGAATATTATTCGCATAACGTTCGTAACGTTTTAGTGCTGGTCGTGAAGTAAAATAACCGGTCCAGTATGCAAATGGGATACTGGCATACGGAAAGAAATCATCAGTTTTCGTTGTCCATTGTTTCTCGGCTTTATTCAAGGCATACAAATAACATGACGGAGTCGAATAAAAGATATTGACATTACTACCATTTTCTTGCTAATGATATAATTTTGACTGAAGTCAATAAAATATGAGAAAATGACATACCTCAAGGTTCACATAATGAATTAATTTGTCCAAATTTTTGAATTTCTCATTGGCATTCTGATCTTGAAAATCATCACCCATTGTCATGATAATATGATTGGTTGCGTATGCGAGAGACTAGAAAGGATAAAAACAAAAGTTGCAAGAAAGCTGCCTTTGAACGACATTTTTCGAACAAACCTGTATGTGCGCTGCTCTGATGAATGCTTCAACACGTTCGGGCACATTGTAGTCATGCAAACGTTTATCATCCTAGAATGATTCAATGCATAGAGAGAATCGAGACTTGATATATATTCGCAAACTATAATCGGTTGATCTGAACACAGTATGTCATAGCAAAACGATAACGGTGCACTGTATCCATGTGGCAGAACACCGGTAAAGAGCCAACTCTGACGACCTACGAACATAACAATGTGAAATTTTCAAGATTTAGATGAGTGTTCATTATAGATTAATATTTCTCAGAAAATATGCAATCGAATTTGAAACAATTGCAAAGACACTAACCTAAGTTAGCACTTCCTTTCCAGATCATTTCCAACTTTTTTTCAGGAGTTCGGTATATTCGATCTTGATAATCAATACGTCCAAAAAATAAACCATCGAAGCCCATCTACGAAGAAATAACATTTACATCGAGTAAAATCTCTTCAAATAAATGCAACCTGTGCAAAAAGTGAAGCAACTTCTCGTGAATGACCGAACGGATCTATCTGCCAGCCAATTTTCGGTCGAGCACATTCACCGAATGTATCATGCAAGAATTCAGCACCTAAGCTATGTTGATCAATAATCGAATTGTAATGTGTTGCTGCCTCATCGTGCATAGACCAACCACCAGAAATAAACTCCAGACGACCTATTCAGATTTAGACTTACGATATTCATCGGCAAAAGATTGCATATTAATAAGTAAATGACTGCTCAATTGAGGCTTTCTCAAAAAAATTTTGCATAATGAATAGGTTTCTTTTCTTGAACACACTCTTCGATATTCTGAAAAGATCTTTATCACTGGTTGACGCTCAATTAATACGAACCTTCATTAACAAGTTGCTTGACGGTGTTGCGTATTTCTTCCGATTGTTGATTCCACCAACGCCAAAAGAAAGCCATTTCGACATAGATAAATCGACGATCGGGATTTTCCGTGAGTGCTAGCACCACTGAGTCGAGAATATATTGAACACCTCGATTGCAGATTTCACTACGTGCTAATTAATCAATTCATCAAATTATCCATTGTTACCACATGAATCAAATCGTTACTCACATCCGTAATAATATTGGTCGACTGTTTTTAGCCAACCAACGTCGTCATGTGTATGAGCTACAATATGAACATTAAGTTTGTCGGGTTTACCCAAATTGCATGACTAAAATATAACTATACGTCTATTTGAAATACTCTACATGAACGAATACTTTCTTACATCATAACCACAACCGTTTGATGATTTGTACGGTGCTGCAAGACCTTGTGTCACAATAAAAAGAAGAATTGCGCAAAATTTAGCCATCTATATAGTCTACAAATGTCAGTAATATAATCCTAAACGAAGTCATGGTAGTCAGTTTCTTACTTTCATATGATTTTGTCTAAAGAATACTAGACACGTGTGTGTGCTTGTGTGAGTTTGAAATAAAAGATAAGAATTTTGTTTGTCAGTAACCCATCTTTTTTACCGAAAGGTAAACGAGGAGTGATGATAAGAGGTGCTATTCACGAGTTCTATTAGTATCATTGTCTTGATGTTACTAATGTGGCCAAATAAAAAACAAGATGTGGTTGGGTGTCAATCAAAAGAAGTCTAATACCCACACACACTGTCACACCCACCCAAAAATAAGCCACAAGAGGAGTTCAATTTCCATAATATTTCATAAGTAACAAGAAGAGAGCAACTGAACGATACCGTCCATGCAGTTATTCTATTTTTTATTTCTTTATGTTGCGAAAAGATCTAAATGAAACATCGTAATTCTGTTAGAATGAATCGAGATGAAATTCGTTCGAAAACATATTAATTAATTGACAAACTTAAGACTTGTCTTTTAAAATACATAGTTTCTTTGCACATTTTATTTTAATTAAAATTCATTTCTTTAATTTGAACGTGTATACTCATTATTAAGTAATCTTGCTCTCACTTATTAGCTTCTGGTCTTCAAGAATAATCTTTGCTTGTCCGTTCTTTTCTTTGTTTAATATTAAAAGAAAACATTGTTTTGTATAGACAGCTAAATTTATTTTATAATGACATGTGATATTTCGGTATCTATCACCAGATACCATCATCAGACAAATAAACCACTAACATAAAACTGTACATACATATGTATCAACTATATTAATAGTATGTATGTAAATAAAAATGTATTAACACATTTAAAACGTAAGTTAACCCATTGATCATAAGAACAATAAAAATTTTAACTTAAATGAAAACATCTATTTCATTGCTGTGTGTGTATAATATTAAGAATAAAATAGATGGACAATTGTATAATATAAAAAGAAAACATTGTTTATTTACATATATAATATTAATATAGTTGATACATATGTATGTACAGTTTTATGCTAGTGGTTTATTTGTCTGATGATGCTATCTGGTGATAGATACCGAAATATCACGTGTTATTATAAAAATAAATTTAGCTGTCTATACAAAACAATGTTTTCTTTTTATATTATACAATTGTCCATCTATTTTATTCATTTCTTTGTTGCCTAATTTTCAAAGTTCGAGCTTGCAAATTCGTATGTCTTTTATGAATTTCTCGGATATTCATAATAAACATAACACAATCTTTACACACTCTGAATGCATCTCTTCAGGCAAGAGTACCACGCAATTCAGTATCTCCATCAGCAGAAACTGCAACTGGTTTCTCAAAATTCAGAAAAGGTACCATATGCGGTATTGATGTGGATGAAGAGAAGACCCACATGCATATCCAGACCTACAGCGGAGCTATATAAGCAGAATAGTCGTTAATATTCTATTCGGAAAGAAAGGTATTCATCGCTCAGTTATGCTGTAAAATTTTGAATACACATGATGTTTTAACAAACAAGAAAACTCGATCGATTCTATCGAAAAAAAAATCGTTCATCTATGAACTCGTTGAGAAAATGTATGAAGAATAGTATTGATCATGTGCCACTCACACAAACGCATATTTATTTCAATTTTGATTAAAGTAAAACTGGAAATGTTTGATAAAAGTAGAAAGAGCAAGAAAAAAAATGCAAAAGTCTATTGTTGATTAATGTATGAAACGGCCATATTGATTGAATACCTTCAAAAAAAAAACAAAATGTGACATTTATTATAGAATAATATATTCGAAAGACAAGTCTCTCAAAATTAGAGATCCTACCTGCTTTAACGTCGAAGACACTATTCAGGTGTTCTGCATTCGAAAATGATCTGTTCAAGTTATGGAAATAGAATCAATATCATATGATCAATGAATCTTGCAAACTATTTGAAATCATTTCCAATATTATTTCTATTGTTTAAAAGCATTTTGAATATTGAATTATAATGATGGAAATATGATTTTTGAAGAACATCAGTTGCAATTTGGATTCATATATGTGGTATTATTTTAAATGGAATTTTGTCGTCCATGTTTCTATCGATTGTCGCATAGTCTATGTTCAGAACAATGTATGATTTCATACGATTATTTTATTTCTTGGCTCAGTAAATGTAGTAGAAATTTGATAAGAACAAAAATTAGATCGTTAATGATATATGCCCAGCTTTAAGAAAGAATTATTTCCGATCTTTATTGATATGACAATCAAGATTTCAATTATATTACATAAATTATATGACGTGAACAAGGAATAGAGTTCACGAGTAGAATTTTATTCAAATATTTGGTTGACATCGAATGAAATATTTTCATATAATTCAGAAATTAGAGACAATCGACCCAATGAATCATACACAACACAATAGTTTCATTCGAAAATCTTGTTGAACTCTTCTCTAAAAGAACGATAATATTTTATGTTTGAAGAATATTAAAGTAAAAGAATAATTTCAAGTGCTAAGATCAATGGATGATTCTAATATGTTATTAGCTAGGCATGCCAATAGTTCAATGTTATTTCATGAAGGATGACATGAAACATGAGACATTCTTAGTAGTATCAAGGTACTATTCAGATATTTGAATGGGCTCAAAACAAAGATTTTGAACTAATTCAAATATTTCGAAATGACATGATAAACGCAAACAATGAACAAACATTCTGTTCGAATGTTTTAGTCTATGGAAATTGATTTGTTCATGTGATTCGATCTGTTTTATGATATGCTTAAAGAACTTCTTAGACAACATCATCGTTCAATTATTAGCCAGAATAAAATCGAAAATATTGTCATAGCTCATTGAATCAAAACAGACAAAATGAAAGAATATGTCAAAGAAAAGTTTTGTTCATTAACGATTGACTTGCGAGACAGCAATAATCCATGATAATAATTCAATAGAATATGATATGTTCAGTGAAAAATCTTGACAAAGTTTCCATTTGCTTATTTTGCCCATATCTTAGCATAGATATGCATTGAATATATGATATCATCTATTTTTCGATAAATGAAAAGATCTAAAACTCATTAAAATCAGTTGATTCAACTATTCCATTTAGTGCGACGCGATAATATGAAGTAATGCTTAGAATTGTTGAGAAAATGATCAATGAACTGATTAGAGTTTCAACTATCAATGGATTTACAATATTCCATCTCAAACCAATGTGCCCATTGGCTCAGTTAATCAAAGATAACATGATCGATGAATGTATCAAATCAAGAAGTTTTTATTCGAATATTTCAGTCGTTTTAAAACAAAATTTTCAAATAAATTTGATAATTATTAATGATAAGGACGAGAAATTCTATCCATAATAATTTGATTCAAATATTCGATTGAAAGAATATGTAATGAATTGCTTGAAGTATTTATTCAACGAAAGTCTTTCCGATGAATCGATTCAATAAACTTCTTATTCATCTATTTCGTTGTTATGAACATCTTATTATAGAATTATTCATGTTATCAAAAAGAACATGTGAAAAGAATCATATTCAGCAAATATCGATTCGAATACGATGTTTATCATTTATCAATCAAAATAGTCGATTCATAGAATTAAATATCATATCGATCATGAATCGAACAAAATAGAATCATATTCAGATTTATTTTTCATTGATCAATATCTGTCATAAAGTATTAACTTGGATTAGAGATTACATTTGCGATGAATATTTCAAAACATTAAAACGAATTGTTTATTATTTTATTCTATGGAATTGACAGTAAATATCTTGATCAATTACGATGCTCATTGATTACATGAAAAACGATTATCTTCCATCAAAAAGCTATTCAAACATATCGATTGGTATATTATTGTCAAACTGATCGAATTTCATAGTCATTGATGATATTGAATGTGAATAGGAAACATTAATGATGAATTCAAATATTCTATTCTTTCCAAATAGTAATTCGGAAGATTTTCGATTAGATTGATGATAACATAGTCATGAAACACGCTCCATAATCAGAGTCTTTACCAAATATGTCGTTTCATTCGATGAATATTTTCTCATAGTTCACATGTTGACCAAATTACAACACAATTGTATTTCATCAAACAGAATTTCATTCGTTAATGGTCCTCGTACTGAAGATACACTATCTCATGAAATTGAACAATAAGCATTGTATTTTAAATGAATTTTTCGTATCTGTGGGCTTAAGTCTCTCTTCAGCTATTCGATTAGTAGAGTATCATTGAAATGTAAGTTGATTACGCGATAAAAGATTATATTGATTATGAATTCTCTTCAAATTCAAAGTTTCGTTCAAATATTCGATGTTTGCATCAATCCGTTCACAAAAGTGATAGTCTTATGATGTGAAACTTTAATCAGAATAGCATGAAAAATAGTCAAAGCTTGATTCATTTATTTCACTTCTATACGATGAGAATTTTCTATGGATATATAACAAATAGTCGACATTGTCAATAAATCATCACTATCAATGCATTGGATGAATACTGATATTATTCACCTATGCTAATCGATACCTTAGTTCGATCATTAAGACAAGGATGAGATGAATAACGAATTCATTCAGCCACAAGACGATGTCCTAGATATGTATTCGTTCTTCAGTCAACGAAATCCATCACTGAGATAATCAAGTATCACATAGTAAAGGAAACTTGACAATTACAAAACTTCTATTCAAATAATAGGACGATTTCAAATTCCATGTTTTACTTCGATTTATGATGATTATAAATCATCTTATTCATGAATTCGTCAAAGTTTCAAGGCTTTATTCATCTATTCAGCCTCTTTCAGAGTTCTGATCTTCATCCAATAATATTATCAATGAACACATGTCAAACGATCACAAGAAACTATCGTTTCGTTCTCATATTGCAGCTGTTTTTCATAGATTTGATTATGAAGATTTCAGTAGTAAATTGAACAACGTCAATGATGAATAGTTCGTGTACGTTTATTATTGAAAGTTTGAGAAAGTCGACTGAGACTTATTCGGCGTCTAACATCATTTCGTTCGGAGAAATGATTACTCCATGCAAGACTTGTCCTAGCGACAATGGTCACTAAGAAAAGAAATGCAAAGATTTGCATATTATTAACCATTTTTCCACGAATAATAACGGATAAAAAATTGAATACGAGTGAAGTGACGATACGAAGCACAAAACGAAGTGTAAGTTTATTACAAGACTGCCCCTTGTTTATATGTTGCTAGAAATATTTTCACTCATTACGATTAATGAAGCATATCTATCGCATGTCATTGAAAAATGGTGAAATTGATAACGCTCGTTGATAGGATCAATCCATTATAACGCGGTACTACGATAATATTTTATTTAATCAAAAACAATGTAGACATGTATAAGTGTTGGACGATAGCGTAAAGTAGCAAAAAAAAGTAATTATTTTTTGTGTATTTACTTGTCATCGTTGGCCTTGTACAATCAAAATATTATTCATAAGTTAGAACGTGGGTGTGTGGTGTTGGTCGATGTGTTCATTGATCTTCTCTTCATCCAGGCGAACATCCACACCTACACTCACCCATTTTTAATATTCTCATAGAAAATTTATTGACAAATACTAATTATATTTAAAAGAATGAAGATTTCTATTTTAGAGCATGTCCAGATTTGATAATTAGTATTCCATATTCATTTTTTTCAAAACTAATCGATAATCCATATCTTATTTCGATATTCAAAGAAATTAAAATGATCAAATCAATAACAGATAATATTTATTTTTCTTTAAATTATGCATCAAAATTTGTTAAACGTTTTCCATCCCTTACTCACATTGAACTTCAAGTATTTTCATTCGATAATTGTGTATATCTTATTGAAATTTTTCTTACTCGTCTGGAAAATGTATCTTATCTTAAAATTTATTATAAACATGATACATTATTTGATGATCCTTTTTCATATGATTATCTTATTAGAAAACGCCGCCAAACATTTCTTAATAATATTGTTGACGAATAGAGAATTAATGTTAAAAATAATGGAGAAATTATAAAAATTTGTCTATCATGATTTTTATGTACATAGAGTTTATTTTTTGTTGTTATGTAAATATGAATAAGGTAACTATGAAATAAACACGTCTTTAGAATAATTTTTATTTGAAGATATTGGTGAAGTCAGAAAACAATTGTAGTGGTTAGAAAGCAGGTATTTTCNTATATATATATATATAAGGTGTTATATGTGCTGATGTTTATGCACTAACTTTATTATGTGTAGACTGGAAAAAACAAACGAAACATATATAAGATGCATATGAAGAACGAAAGCAAAGCAGATACCAATAGAGATCAAAAGAAGGTGAAAGAGAATAGAGGATAGCAAGAAAATAGTGAATATGTTAACGTGCGACATCACTATAACGCCCACACCCTCAAATATATAATATTTTTTATCAAAATGATCAGCGCAGATAGCTTCACAAAGTCTGATAGACGAAGACATTTTCTGAGAACTTTTTGTTTTTATGGGTGAGTACCCATGGAAGTACAGTAGTTACATCCCTAACATTTTTGGAACTGCCCGTGACTCTATAGCTTATTATCACCCTATGAATTATCAGTTATATTCTTAAATCCCGTTTTTAACGGGCTTTCATTTGATATAAAAATCACTTGTATATCTCTTTGCATTTGAGCTGTAATCTTTGGAAAAAAAAATTTGGAAACCCTTTAGAATCACATCGCCTCGAAAGGGTTAATTATAATAAATTATTTTAAGTGAATATTATCTTGATAGGAATTTATTAATTTAGATTAATGATAATAATTAAATATTAACCCGATATAAGAAGAGTTCGATAGAATAAGGAATAAATTCATTTTAATTTAATAATTAACTTTTTAAAATCAATATCTAATGATAATATAATTATTTATTGATAAGATAATCACTTTATGATTATATTAATATATTTATCATATTTCATTTTTGGATAAATACTTTCTATAAATATCATTTAAAATAGTCAAAGAAATTTTAACAGTTAAATAAATAAACAAATCTATTAGTATTTTCAACTAAATAGAAGATTTTTGTTTTGCTTATTTATATATTTATTTTGTTGATCATTATTATTTATATTATTGGTCTTATTTAAAAAAGAATACAAGAAACTTCTTTATTAATAGTAATCGAATTATCTTGCTGTTTTTTTTTGTTTCTTCAAATGAATTATTTATTTAAGAAAACGAATGAAAATATTCACTGTATATTAAATGTAAAATTGTTTTAACATGTTGAATTATCTTTAGATTCGTTTTCAAAATTCAGTTCATCATATAATTTTCGTTTAAGTTATTTTCTTTTTTATAATAAATTTTTGCAATGAAAATTTTCATTTGTTTCTATCTGCACGACTAAACCTTAATGAAATTTGACCAAAATCAACTTCTGTTTTTGGTTCTTTTATTCGGTTTCAATAAAAAAATTTTCATATTCACCACCATATGAAAGAATTAACTGTTAAATATTCAGGTCTAAATTTATACGTTAATGGACGTGAGAATATTTACCTTGCTTTTTTTTAAAGAAATCTTTAGAGTTTCGTGAAATTTTGAAAATTAAAAAAAGACAAAGAAAATGACCACAGAAAACGTTATAAGAATAAACTTGAAAAAAACTTCATCAAAAAGACGATCGTCAATATAAAAGGTTTTGGAAAATCTTTAATATAATTAAATGAAGTGGTAGATGCTGTTCACTCGATCGATTAACATCTCTACCTGTTAAAATAACTGTTGAAGAAAAGTATACCTTTTCAAATACCATATTTAAGTTGTACTTGAAATAAGTGAAGTTTCAATTTTCCTTCTGGTGAATCTTATTCTAGAGTTTCACTCAATCAAATATTTTTTTTTTAAATTAATTAAAAGTATGTTTTATATATAGTCGGTATTCATGACATTGTCTGTTTTATCGTTTTGTTGTCTATGTATTTTATAGAATTGAGAAAAAATAATAGATCATCTTTTAATTTGTTCAATATAATTAACAAGGATTTGAAAAAAGACTGATCTCTTATCTTTAATTATATTTAAAATTTGTAAGAAAAATAAAGAAAAGAAAAATCTACTAGCAATATGAATTAATCAATATGTAAGATAAAGATTTAACGATGAGTTCATTGAATGAAGTTGTTGTTTAATTAAGTTAAAGTGAATGTTGTTTACAAATTTTCATAATTAATTAAAGAAGATAAATAATTTAAATCTATTCATATAATAACAATAAAATATTTGAATGTGTATTTTTTTTTATCGAATAATTTTAAACATTTTATTAATCAACAAAATTAATAAAAAATTATTTAAATAAGAAGATAATATATTAATAACCAATAGAAAATCCATCTGATCTTGGATCCGAACCTGCTGCCCAAACTAATCTATTATCGTCATTAGGTACTTCAACAATAATTTGACCGCGACCAAATATTGAACGATCAACTCCTTGGACTAATTTAACATGATGTCCAAATGATTTAAGTTTTTCTAAAACTTCTTCAGAAATTCCATCTTCTAAAAAAACTTCACTTTCAACATGTTCATCAATACCATTAGGTACATGTGGACCAATACAAAATCGAGGAGCATCAAGTGCAGCTTGGACATTCATATTAAAATGTAACATATTCATAAGTACTTGTAAATGGCCTTGAGGTTGCATAAATCCTCCCATAACACCATAACAAGCTAATAAATCTCCATTATCATAAGTTATCATTGAAGGAATAATAGTATGATATGGTCGTTTACCACCTTTTATACAATTCGGATGATTTTCTTCTAAAATAAAATTACATCCACGATTTTGTAATGTAAATCCACAATTATTTGGAATAGCTCCAGTACCAAAACCAGTATAATTAGAAAAAATAAATGAACAAGCATTTCCTTGACTATCAGTTACAGCAAAATAAACTGTATCAGATGAATTAACTGGTTTTCCATGTTTTATCTGTTTATTAACAGAATTTTGATGAAAATTTTCAGCACGTTTAGATAAATAATCTGATGATAATAATTGTTGAATAGGTACATGTTCAATATTTGGATCACTAATAAAATAAGATCCATCAGAAAAAGCTAAACGAAGAGATTCAATAAGAGCATGAAGATATTCAGCTGAATTATGTTCGAAATTTTCTAATGAAGGAATTTTTTTGTGTTTTTGCATGTGTTCTAATATTCCAATAGCCATAAGAGCAACAATACCTTGTCCATTTGGAGGACATTCCCATATTCGAATAGGTTTTTTATCATTTAAACAATATGATATACTTATTGGTTCAACTATTGTTGATTCATGTTCAGATAAATCTTCAAGTGTCATTAAACCACCTTTACTTTTTATTAATTCAACAATAGATTCTGCAATACGACCTTTATAAAATCCATCTCGACCTTTATTAGCTATTTCTCGTAATGTATTAGCAAGAATAGGCATTTTCATTATTTGACCGGCTTTAGGTGCTCGTCCATTTTTAAGCATATCATATCCATTGTCTGATGCTTGTTTAAGTACGTTTTCTGAAGATGCCCAACTACAAGCAGTTATTTCTGAAACAGGATATCCATCTTCAGCTAAACGAATAGCAGGAGTAAATATTTCATTTAATGATAGATTTCCTGAACCAAATAATTTAATTGTTTGAATAAAAGCATCAACAGCACCTGGAACAGTAACTGAATTTAAATTATTAAATGGAATATTTTTTTCTGTTATTCCCATTTGTCGAAGTTTTTCTAATGTCAAATTTTTTGGACATCGACCACTTCCATTTAAAGATGAAATTTTTTTAGTTTCATTATTATAATATAAAACAAAACAATCTCCACCAATACCACATGAACATGGTTCAGTTACATTAAGAGCAACTGCTGTTGCAACAGCTGCATCAGCTGCATTACCACCTTTACGTAAGATTTCTAAACCAGCTTGACATGCTAATGGTTGAGATGATGATACAATACAATGTGTACCATAGACAACTGATCGACGTGATTTGAAATTTAAATTTAAATCATCATTATATCTCATATATTCAATATTTTCCATATTCATCTACAAATTTTATTCGTTTCAACAAAAATTCCACCGAATATTTATCTTATATATCATTTAAGAACAATTATTATTATTTAATATAACATATTTTACTTCACCTCAAACATGTTTATATATGATAAACATATAAAAAACGAAATAAAATTTATCTCATATTATAGAATATATTAACACAATAAATAAATAGAAACATTAAAGATAAGACAATGACATTAACTATATACATTGATATTCTATCTTTCATCCTTGAATAATATTATCTTTATTATAAATAAAAAAGAAACATTCTATATAGAGAAATCTTTTAACAATTTATTTATAATATATATTGTTATTAATCAATTGAATTCCTAACAATAAAAATAAATTCATATTTAAGTTATATAGGATATTGATTATTCAAATTGAAATAAATATCTCTAATGATATACATTGTTCATTTTCAGTTCATACATTTACTTTATTAAATTATGCTTTTTTTTCTCAACTTATTAATATTTATTAAACTTTAGAGAGATTAATTGTTTTTATTGTCTCTGATATCAACCATTATCTTCTCGTTTTTATTTAGAACCTCCAGAAAGACGAAAGAGCAACTACAAATATACGCCATCTGAAGGATCGTATAGAACTATATTCTTGTTCAAAATCTCGAACAATTTATTTTTCGCTCTGAATCATTTGATCGAGGTCTAATACAATTCTTAATCAAATCTTAATATGCATACGCGAATCGAAATTTTTAATGTAACTAATAAATAAAACACTACATAATCAATAATTGAAAATTCCTTTCCAATATATTCATAAAAAGATTAAGAAGGATTCTATTATCAATTTCAATTGTGAATAATAATGCAATCGTTCAGAAAAATAAAACCGTTTTCCAT